TTTTCTACGTTATTATTCTATCAATTACAGAGTTTAAAATGTGTTATTTCGTGCAATCTGGATTAAATCTCATTTCTTCCGTGGCTAACTTAAACTTTCTCCATTCTGTGACAAATCAAAAGCAAAAATCTTCAAATCTCCCTCAAAAAAGATTAATTTAAAGTGAAGAAACAGTCAAAAATAACCACTATGGGATAAAATAACATTTAAAGCTTTAATTTCAATGAAGTAGTTCCTTAGAGTTCAAACTGTCAAAATGTAATGAAACCATTATTATACATACCGATTTTCTTACTATAATAAAATGGAATTTAGATTCCCGCTTATACGATCTGTCGCTCTCTATGCAACAAACTATAACTAAACTATGCAGAAGTTTATGCGCAATTCCGTGCATGCGCTCTTTTGTGTAGTAAATTATTCTTAAGAGGAAACAAATGCGAATTATGCACATACGCTATATCTGAAATACTTACGAAGACAATAAAATTATTTCAGTTCGTTTCAATATCAAAGCAAGTAAAGTGAAATACTTTCCTATTTTTTAAATAAATACGAAATTCCTTTTTGAGGGGGAGAAGATTGAAGAAAAGAGAAATATATTCAAAGGTATTGCATGCGGTGTGGCATTTTGGTTTTGAATGCATCTAACCAACGGCGCATAATAAGTTATTATGACAGTTGGACATTTACACATCTTATTTGGAAGTCAAAACAGAACTGAACTGAACTACTGCACCGTTAAAGCTTTTACTTGTCATGTACAACTAAAAAAATTATAATACTGATAAACGAAAAAATTGCTACAATCTTTAACTTGCAATGAAATTTTTAAATTTTTAGACATCAATGTTTATTTCTAAATAAAAAGCGGCTTTGAATTTCTTGGTTAAAGAAAATATTGCTTAAACGATATATGTTTTCAAATTGAGAAATGTTTTAGTCTTTCTACCGGTTGCACGATTTTTAATTTGGCACTACGAAAATAGCTCATTTGATGCTAACAAATCAATATTATTATTTTTTATTATTAGCAAGCTCGTAATCAAAAAGAGTGTTTAGAATAATCACCAAACGCAAAGTGTTTACCAAGTCAAATATTAAATAAAAAATTTTAAGAGTTTTAAAACGAACAATATCTCTTACATTAGAACAAGTTTTCACATTTTAATAAACTTTCACTTTTTAAGTTGTTTGCAGCTTTTTATAATAAAAAGCTTATTTCCTCCCAAATTAACATTTAGGAATATTCTTATCGTGTGGTCGTAATAAAGAATTCAATTGGTTTCATATTAATCGCCTATCTTGATGCATGCATTTAAATATTTTAAGATATTAATTATGATTTCCAAAACTAAAATATTTTAAGCGGCCACTAAAACTTAAAGTAAATAGCTATGTACAGACGAATAAAAATGTCAAGTTTGAAATTCAAATATTAACCTACATAAGATACCATCAGCCATTTTATTTGAAAGACAAAACTTCCAATTGCATTCAAATATTTTAAATGCATTTCTTTTTCTTAACTTAACACTTCCATCGGAATCTATTTGTTTCTAATTCACGTCGCATTACGTAAAGAAAATTACTTTCCATTGATAAATGAAAGTGATGTTTAAACAAAGCATAAAAAAACTAAATGCTAAAGTATTTTAGAGCACTTAGGTAAGTAGAAAGTTGAAAAAAGAAACTTAAAGTATAAAAACACTCAGTAACCTTTTTAAGTACTAAGGCCGTGTTTATTCTTAAAATAAAAAAATGAAATATATTTGAATAGGCATTAGTTTTAGATTTGAATGTTAAAAATATAGTGAATATATATTTTCTTTTAAAATATTAGGTAGAGACATTAGGTTATTTCGAAACAGGAGACATGAGAAATGTGAAATGCCCTCGCCGGGATTTGAACCAATACACGTCAAGTGTGCTGACCAATACACCACGAAGACATGTTAAGAAGACAGGATAAATACCTTATAAACTCCCCCTTTTAAAGGGCGACTGGGAATTTGGGGGACCCATTCGCCGAATCCTGGTGGTGGAGAATCATCATCCACCACCTTTTTCAATTCGGGCACCGCTATATATAGACATTAGGTTTTTTTTTTTTTTTTTTTTTTTTTTTTTTTTTTTTTTTAAGGAGGAGAAATGAAAAATGAGCAATACTCTCGCCGGGACTGGAACCACCGTCCTCTAGAGTACGTGCCGAGCATGCTGACCACTACACCACCAAGGCATTCTAAGAAGGCGAGAGGAATACCTTATACTTACATTGATATGAAAATACTAATATGCAATGAGAATTTTAATGAAAATGTACTTTTAAAATAGTTATTAAAATTTTGCAAAATTCAGTTTTATATTACATTTTATTTTATATAAAACGTTGTATGTTTTAAAAAAAATAAAGAAACGAAAAAGAAGAAATGACACGGGTCTTCATTTTATATGAGAAAAAGACCATTATATGATAAATGTAAGCTTGATAGTAAATTAGAAAGTTTTCATTTTTTTGTTTGGAACTGTGTTTGCTAAAATTAATTTTGGACTGGGAAAACTTCATTGTGAAATAAAAATTAGAATTAAAATCTTCACTAAATTTGACATATTTTGCTTAATGGAGAATGTTTTTCAAGAGATCTAATTCACTAGTTGAAGAAATTAAGAGTTAAAAAACTGACTAAAAGACAAAAGAATAAAAATGCAAGCTTTCTTAACATCTCCTTTTAGAAGCCCAAGTTTTTATTTCGTTAACAAATTTTAAAGCGCTCTTAATTTATCTGATGTGTATTAAATGAACTGGTAAAAGTTACAATACATTTTTCTGGACTTCATGTTCGGTATAGGGTCTTCAAGAAGCGAGTTGCAATGTTTTTAATAATAAAGAAAAATATGTTTAAATTTAGATCTAAGGAGAATTCTAGCAAATCTGCAATTAATTGTGAGACAGAAAGAGCATGCCAACTATTTGTTACTACATATAATGGAGGAATGTCCTCTCGTGGGGAGAGAGAAAGAATTTTTTTGTAGATTTCGTCACTTTGTACTCCTACGTTACTGTTGGAAATGAAGAATCTTAAGAACTGATAAGCGAATAATCGCTTGCTTTCGTGTGACAGGAAACAACAAGATGGAAGGGTAACTAACCCTTTATTATTTCAACTAAGGTTTGACAAAACTCTGTCTTGGAGTGTACAACAAAGCCGACACTTGGGCTTTGAACTTAAGAGACTGAGAATAATACTAAACTAATCTAAACTAAAGAGGTATAGCCGAAGCTTCTAACAGAGTTGGCGCCTTAACGTTAATAGACTGCGAAGCTATAAAGGGCCTAAAGTACGGTCGAGCGTAATAATAGCTTACAAGAGACAGTAGCCTAAAAAGGCGTCCGCGTGCAGACAGAATACCTGGTATCTCTCTCATTCATTAAGACCGAAGAACTTTTAGCGGTTAAATACCGCTCTTTCTCATTATGTATTCAGCCGTGATTCTAAAACTACGTTCTGGCCGGAAGTAGAAAGTTTAAGTTAAAAATTGATAAGAGAGGACTTTAACTCAAAATTTAACTGTTAATAAAATTAACATATTCTTTACAGCTTTATCAATATCTATAGAAGAAAATCTTCTGCTTATAGCAGTAGTTCATGAATAACTGTGCTCCAATGCATGAGGAATTTCTTATTTCCAGTTTTCTCTCATTTGTGATTATAAGCAACAAACTATGATAACAGTTCTACAATAAAATGTGAGACTTTTTCTATGAGTCTTCCTCGCCACTCCAAATATAGCTCTTTTGCTCATTTGTTGTAACATTTTAATTTTTCTTTCACTAAATGTTTGTTCTTCAAAGTTCATGTTAAAATTAAAGCAACATAAGAGAAGGGTTCACAATTAAATTTGATATTTTACAGCTAGAAGAAAGAAATTTTTTCGTTCCAATCCGCATACCTCCTTGGTGTAACTGGAACGTCCGGCTAATGATATGCAAATCGGATCAGGGGTTCTAATCACAATGAGGGCATTGCTGATTTTTTTTGTTTCGATAAAATTCCTGTGACTCTACAAGTGGCATTCGAACTAAAATGTAGTACGTACTAATTCGTCACCGCATAGATCTGGCGATTGCGTCCCATCATTCTCAGTCATTCTTTAAGAGAGGGAGAATATGAGGCATTTTCCCCTTCTTTACTGCGAACCTTCATTGTGTAATTGAAAGCCGGTCCAAATAGCAATCAGGAAGTCTGAGTTCCAATCCGAGCGAGGGAATTACTAATGTTGCTCCTCCAATAAGAAACCTAATGCATCTACAAGCCTTTATTTACTGTTCAATCAATTTGACTTAATTTTTGTCAACAAATTATTCGTGTTTACAAAAGTTATTACGCTCAATTTTTATTTAAATTCAGCAGTATATTTATTAACATCTAAGAAACAAATGGTAGAAATCTTGGAAAAACATTATAAATAAACAATCTTTTTTCCCCCTTTTTTCCCCTCTTTTACTTTCAATTATTAATATTTGATTTTAAAGTCAGTTTCATTTTAACTATGTACAAGCAGTACCCATTCAAATCGAAGCTATTATTATGATGATGAAAGAATGAAAATTTACATTCTTATTTTTTTAATTCTCAAATTTAATTTAATGTGATCGAGTACTTTGTGTTGTTTTAAATTTTATAGGTAAAGAAAACGAAAAACGGGCTTTTCGATTTTCTAGCCTAAGATTGTAAAACTTTGTTCTATTTTCCCCCCGAATAGGTGAAAAATTAAGCTGAGCCTTTGGCTTGGGCTATGGATATTCAAGTTCAATTACTGTCTGTGTTAATCATTAAATCATATTGATAAACACCATAATTACTTCTAAGATGATCCCTATTCATTTATTATATTGCATTCTTGGAAATTTAAAGATAGCACTTCTTTTTATCTATTCATCCTCACATGCTGCTTTTCGTAAACCTTTTAACAAAAGGCCTAAATTCTTGTTTTCTCAGGTTCTGTGGGATATGCGAGATGCAGTCACTGTATATTATGTTGGCTACGGCATATCGTTAGTGGCTTTAACGCTTGCGCTTTGGATTTTTATATATTTCAAGTGAGTATACAGTCATTTCATAATCTTAAGTTTCAGAAAATTAGACAGTATTATAATAGCTGTAATTAATGAAGTAGGAATTTTAAAAAGGCACCACATCCAATCCTGTTATTTGCATTAGTTTACTCTTTTCATTTTTATTCCTGTTGTGTTTCATTTTTCGATGTTTTAACTAAGGTAAAAGAATGATATATACATTTTGAGAGGTAAATATTTTAGAACTATTGTGCAGAGGTGATAGCTAGGATTATTATGAAAACTAAGCATGTGTCTAACCTATAAGCGTGGCTTCACTGAAAAATCTGCATTCATATCTTGGCATGCACAATATACATACTTTTCCTAAGATAGAAACAGGAAAAATACCTTTGCATACTATATCGATATATTAGAAATTCCCTTATTTAACAGAATAATATCCTATCTCCTTATAAATATCTATAACAGGTCGCTTGAATTTAATTCGCAATTTTGTGAACATTTTACGAACAAAATCACAACTATATCATTTATACAATGTCGGGAATCTTATTAAATAGTTATTTTATCAAGTAAAAAGTTATTTTGTTTTCAACCTTTACTATAATGTTTTCTTTCGGTTCTTTCGCTATTCTTCACCAGAATGCAAGTCGTAGGGGGTATTTAAACGGGGATTTTGGGATTTGAGAAAGGCAGAGCGTTTCTTTCATCGGTTGCCCGCTACGCAGTCAGTGTCCTGCCAGATTTAATGGTTGTAGTTATTTGGCTTTGAGGTCTCGCTGCCGGCACTTTAATTTTGACGCTCTGCTACAGTTAGTGAGCAGCTTCTGGTATAATATTTAATTGTATAGTCCTTGACACTTGACAACTGTACAACGTTTGATTTCATTTAGATTGCCCAATCTGTTTTGCATCAGCAAGAGTTGCAAATGTAAAACAGGGGAGACCTTTGTGTTCTAAATTCTGTTTAAATAAAAAGATTATTTTAACCTTCTCAAGGCTTCTCGCTGTTCTCAGACATAGCGATAATTAGATTCACGTCCGTAACGTTTATATAATTAAAACAGCATCACTAAATCAAGTGTAAATCTGTAACCTTTGATACGGGATAAATTAAAGTTTTTCTTCCATAAACATTGCTGAGCAGTACTTAGTGGTTTGAATACTTCGAAATATTGCAGGAATGCGTTGCTTTTCCTGCAGATGCAATAATTGAGGGGATAAATGATATTTTAAAACTTAAGTACCAAGAAGCGTATCATAAATAAATCATATTTCGCGATTAAAGAGAAAATATTTAGAAGACAATCAAAGAATCTCGAATCAAAAGCTTAGAAAGAAGATTTTTTTATGTAGTGAAAAAGTACATGTGTGTTCAAAATTTGGTTACTGTATTACGGGTTTCACTGCAGACATAGTTCATCTGTAAAGATGCTACATTTACAGGAACCACGGAAATTAACATGAAAACTGTATTTTCTCACGCTACTTCGATCAGTATGATGGTCAACACTGCTAGCTGCAAACTGTGTCTTGTGTATTGTCTTTGCGTATTCCTTTTGTGAATACATATTAGCTTTTCTTCACTGTGTTATTTAAAAATTTTGAGTTTATGACATCATCATGCAGTGCATTAATGGGTAATAACTTAACTCCGTGAAAATAAAAAGAATAATATTGAAGTGTGAAAATACTCTTGCAACTGATTTGTTTGAAGTACACAGCTTTCTTTCAGAGTCTTAAGGTCGTACCTTCAAAGTTGTTTGTACTTCAGAGTACGAGACACGTCCTTTCCTTCAGAGTCGTACAATATCAAAAGTTGAAGAAAGCAGCACCTTTATTTCTTAACCTTCAATTTACAATCTTTCGAATATACAATGCTTAGCACACTCATACACCTGTTCGATTCCAGTGTATAACTTATCTTCTGAAGCATTATTTAAATTTACATTTAAGGTTTTCTGAATCTCTTCATTGCTATTGAAATAATGATCTTTGAAGTGAAACTTGGCTTTGGGGAAGAGAAAGAACATAGTCTACAGATGCTAAATATCTTAATCTTTGCTAAATAAGAGAATAGTTGAGAGCTGTGAAATGTTTCTTTGCCAGAAGCTTCTTAAAGAAAATGATATTTGTGCAGTAGAAATTAGTTATTTTAGTTGCTTTTTATCAATCGCAAAGAACCGAATGCACTTCAGAAGTCTATCTATTGTACTTTTACAATATACTTACAATTTTATATATGTTTAAATAATTTTCGTGATATTATATGTGAAATTGTAGTATCTTTCGTGTAATGTAACATGAAATGCCTGAAAAAGCAAAGCTCTGCCAGAAGTATAAGGTTACAGGAGCAAGCCCATTTACGTTAGGTTAGGATATTTGACTAAGACAAAACAACTCAGAAGCTATCTGCCTAAGGGATGCCTTCTTAGAGGCTTAAACTGGCTTATACTCACGTTATACATGGGAAAAGCCACGAAAACCAACCATGCAACCAACTTGCTGGTCGAAATTTGATCCCAGGTCGAACTAACAGTGTTCAGCGACTTTACCACTGGAGCGCTCGTAAGCCAAGTCTATTTAACATTGAGGTAAGCGGGTATCTGTCTATATCGCCAAGCTAGCGATGATTCTGGCCACTAATATGAGAAGAAATCACCAACGTCGCCAAACTTGGTGACTATTTGGTGGCATTTTGGTCCGGTCCCTGTACAACTGTAATTGATACAGTAATTCAATAAGCGTAATTGATACCTATATGTAACTATTACCATATCCGACCATTCTATGCAACTTTAACCGTACATGCCTTCAGTAATTTTAAGAAATGGAAGGTACTAGAGATTTTTCGGTGGCCAGGGATAAATTGTATAAGCCTGGAGAGAGTATAAGTTCTCAGTTTTTTAGTTCAATGCTGAGTTCGTAGTACTGAGAAATCTCCGAAAAGTCTTCAACTTTTACATGCCTTTTGCATTGCGCTATGTTTAATGTTCTTAGTAGTCTGAAGTGTAATTACTGATTGCCCCCTATGATACTGAGACTGTGGTCTTCTTAATTACATAACTTCTCCTTCGATCTCGGACTGTAAACAGGGATTCTGGATTATTGGGATGAATTAATTGAAAAAACGCAACCTCACAGCAGAACAAACGCAAATAAATGGACTCAGGTCTCTTGGGAAAATTAATTAAATCTTTAAGTGACTGAAAAAGATATACATGACATCAAGGCTTACCGTTGATGACAATTTGTTTTTTTTTCTAAGTTATTATTCCATTATCATTACAAATGTATCTATTCGTTAGATTATTTTGCCAAATATCAACTCATAGATATAGTCTTCTTGGATAATATATGTCACTACAGTCATAGGTCCAAACAATCATAGGGCCCCCGAAATGTGTGTCCAATATTCATGGATACCTCTTTTTACACATTCTATATCGCCGCTACCATAGTGTCACGGAGCTAAGTACCCAAATATTGTATCACTACAATCACAGGTTCAAACAATCATGTAACCTCGGAGGTGGGTGTCATGGCATCCAACACTGCACCAAAAGGACAAAATGCCTATTTGTTTCTTTCGCCCACTCTTGCGTACCTCTGTCTCTTACAGCTATCTTCTTTTATCTGCTTCCAAGGGGCCAAAAAAGTTCGACGAAAGCTCTTTCTCACTGAAGTGGGGTGTCAAACTTAAGCTTGTCTATAAGGCACGACGCTAGATCGCAAAATAGCGTTCAGTAATGTAACTCCATGTTACACTTTCTTACGTTACATTAACGTCAATTTAAATTTTTAGTTATGTTTCGTTTCGTCACATATTCCCTCAATCTAGAAGTTTATGCAACTTTAACTGCAAGTGACATAATTTAAATTGCAAGGAAGGATCGTAGCCTGTATGACTTGTAATAGAGACTTGGTTGCTGCTGCTGACGCCTGCCTGCCTGTTATAAAGGAAGAAGACAACTGAATCAAACGTGAATGCTTGGCATTCATGCGACTTCGCTTTGTTAAATGTGAATTTTAAAGAATTTAGCTTGTCCGACCCAGCTGACATTTGCACCTTCACGTGATGTTGTAGCCTATTGATTTTCTGTACGTCCAAACAGTAGTTATGAGTCAAGGAGGTTTACATTTTATTTTGCATTATTTTAATTAACTAGCTGTGATAAAATAAAGTAGCTGTGATAAAAACGTAAAACCTCGCATTCACAGTACGGGTAACTGTTGGGGTGGTAAGTAGTCGATAGAAGAATGTAATTAAGTAATCATCAGCTCTCTAACTGTTATACTTATAATTTCTCTATCAATATCAAAGTACACGATGAATGTGTACCTCCGAACTGAGAAACTCTGCAAATGTAAGGAATGGATGTGATTACTAATTATTTGTATTATTAATTCATTCATTTTAAATAATATTTTTGTACGAAGTTATCATCATGGAACAAAACAAATTTCATGTGTGATAATATGCTGATTATATTTCATTCGTTTCCAAAAATATTCTGATTTGCTCTAAAATTATATTTAATATTGTTTAGAGATTTGCGATGCATCCGTAATACCATTCATGCCAATCTCATGTTCACCTACCTTCTCTTGGATGTTACATGGATTCTTACGGCTCACCTGCAATCCAGCCAGGAGTATGCAGCCAGTCGAGTAAGTAATATCCTTTCGTTACTTGTAGTTGAACAGGAAGAAACAAGATAGATGTTGAGCTATGATGTTAAGATCTCAAGTAAGTAGACATCTTCTTTGCCTCTAATCTGATCTGATGTTAAGATCTCAAATAACTAGACACCTTGTTTGTCCCGAATCTGATAAAGTTAATAATAGGTCAAGAGCTAACTTCGTCAATTTTATTTTCCTAAACCTTATTTAATCCTTAGCTGATTAAATGTCAACAAAGATATTACTTGCGTCTAATAAAAGTAAAGAAATTTATAAAATATAAAACTTATTGAGAGGAAAATATTTCGTTGGTTACTGTATGAAGAATAAACCGTTCTTCCCTGTGCAAGCTCTTGTGGTGTAAGTGGGTGCTCTTGTGGTAGGCATGGCTAGTTAGCAACTAGAAAATCCGTGATTTGAATCTGGAGGATAACAGTTAAATTTTGGCATTTCTCATTTCAAAACACCTAACAGTCACTATAATACTAAAAGGCAATGAGTAGTAACTTCCCTATATCTAGATTTGGTAGACTGCTTTTCTTGCTTTTCCTTGGTCGTTTTTAAAAGGAAGAGAATGTACTAATTATTGTACTGCTCCTGTGCAATTTCTTGCAATATAAATGGTTAGTGCGTCTAATTGGCAGCTAGAAGATCCGTGGTTCAAATCCCAGCAAGAGCACGGTTGATTATTACATCTCTCGCTTTGGGAAACCTAATAGTCTTTACAAATCTTAATAATATTATCTGCAATAATATTATCCAGATATGAGAGCTTTAAAGCTTGATGTCCATTGAGGAAGGCTGTATAGTGTCCGCATGCGCATATATGTAAATTTGAACTTATGGTTTGAACTACTGTAGTCATTTGTTACTAGAGTTATTTGAACTATCGAGACTATGTAATATTCTGTTATTGGTTCTATTAAATATCAGTTCTTTGGAAATTTTCTTCCTTACCGTACTTTGTCTCATATTAGAAATAAATACCATAGTAAAATTTAAACTAAAAATGATTTATTTGGTTCTACTTTAGTCGGAATCATAGAATAAAAAGAATTAATATTCTTGTGTCTTTCTTGTTTGTAAGACCAAACCTGATTAATATGGCACAGTTTATATTACTTCAAATACATAAATAATAAACTAAAAACCATTTAGGTGTGGTTTTGGGCTAATTTTTCCTCCATTCCAGGTTCTTTTGATGAATATTACTCATACGCATGGATAGAGAACGGATTCTAACTTATCTTAGTTCCAAATTCTAAATGGTTGTCGAATCTCTTAAATCTTTTGTATAAAAAGAATAAGAAGAAAATAACTTTTATTAAATATTAAACATTTTTAGCTACAGCAAAATTCGATATCTTTTTGAATGGAAAACAAATTTTAGAAAACAATTTTAAAACATAATGTATGCTTATCAAAATATACAAATGGTATTTAATGAAGGAAGCATGTAAATAATTTTTTCTCCTTGAGATACATTTACTCAATTTGATGAAACAAGCTATTTGAGAAAAAACTTCAGACTTTTTCCATGTTTCCCAAACCTTTTCAAATCAAAGCAAATGTAGAGATGAAAGTCTATTTAAAGTGTTTACGAAAATAAGAAGTAAGCATGGAAGTAAAAGTTTCTTCAGAAATCTAAGAGTGTGGTAATCAATGTCACCACGATATAGGTCTACTGCAATTGTAACAATTGCATTGTTTACGTAATGCCCACTTCTACTAGTCATCAATAAAACTAATTTTTACAAAGTTTTGGATAAAATATTTAATGAGTTTTACTTTACGATTTGAAAGATTCGCGAGACGAAAAATGTTCGAAGGTTCTGAAATTTTTATTTTCAATATCTTCCAAGGTTCATAGGATTCGAGAATCTGAATGTTCATCTCTAATTACTGTAAGTACTCTTTTAGGATCATGTTATCTTTGGGCACATAAACTCTACTAGATCCTACTAAGGAACCTGGAGACATCTTGCACAGGCTTAAAGGAAACCAACGCAGAAGAAGAGTAAAAATAACCCTTTATTATTATTCGAACTCTGAGCAGAAAAAGGCACGTATTTCGTGCTTACAATAACACCGATAACTTGCGGTGGAACTTAAGAATCGTTACACAATCAATTCAAGACTAAAGAGTAGTGCCGGACTAGCACTTTAAGTTAAGGCTAACTAGGTTAGCTCGACAACCTACCCGGCGTGATAATTATTTAAATGGTCAAAAAGGCGTATCAGCAACTCCGCGTAACAGCAAGTACGCACTCGTAACGTGCGATGGCTAGCGAACGTTGAGTAGTTCAGAAAAGATAACAAAAATTTGAATAATTGGTTAAGTGAACTAAGGGAAACCATACACACTTAACTGTGATTGTTGATTCTATGAATGCTGCTTCCATTCAATTACGGGCAGCCAAAAGAGTGCAAACGTTGTCGCTAAGAAAACTGCTATGAGATGTATTATCCGGATTCTTGTTATATTAGCTATGATTTTCCCACTTAAACATCATATGTATATTCATTAATACTCGATTACTCTGTAACTTCTGGTTAGGCCTGAAATTAAATGATAACCAAAGGAAAAGAGAATGTAAAGGCTTAATTAGTTAACCCTTTGCGGCACGGTGTGCCCGGTCTGGGCACACCTAAAAATTTCCTTCTGTACGCACAGAAAAGTTGAATGAAAAAGGATTAATATGTTACTCTGAATCTTCTTCATTTATAGTAGATGGCATCCCAACAGAAACCAGTCCATACATTTTAGCCCTCTTTAGTTTTTAAAGATCCTCATTTTTCAAAGAAATCTTTCATATTTTTTTAGGATATAAACGGAATTATTTGAAGTGAAATTTCTATGCTATTTTCTTGGCGATATGCTAATCTCCTTATTCTATATTAGTTTTAAATTTTTACCTTGAAATCTTGCCTAAAACATCAGATGTGGAGTGGCATCACTAGGAGACTAGGAGAAAACCAGCAACCGTAAATTTGTTTATCTGCAGCTCACCGGTCAGCTCTTTCATAATAGAAAGGTGGGTCCACATTTGTGTTTCATTTCCTGTTTTTCTCTCTTTTGGGCGGGAGGGGAGGATCGTTATCAACTAAGAAGTTGCTGGGGTGATTTTCTGAAGGTCAGGGGTAATTTTATCAGTTAGCTGTTTGGTTTTTCACTAGAGCAGTTTTCTTTATCCTTTTCGCTTTCATTCAAAGAAGTTTTGATAGCTTTGAGTTGTAGACTTTTATTTAATTTTATTTTATAGTTTATAATTTCTAATTGTAGCTATAATATTAGCTTATTTTTTTCGGATTTTTAATTATTTTCCAAATAGATCGGAGAAGGCTGTCCGTTTCTGAAGCACTGAAAGTGCTACACGAAAGTACTACACACTTCAGATAGTGAATCTGATACGGATCCCGGTACATGTGCAGAACATGCAATGTTGGGCTGTGCTTTTTCAAAGGTGGTATCGCTTTCTTCGAAAAGTACCACCTAGAACAAAATTGACGAAAGTGTAAATATGAGATGTAAATAACGTAACTATCATATATCCAAGTTAGTTTTTTTCATTTATACGCATGTAATCATCATATAACCAAGAAGAGCTTTTTAGGGGATATACAGTAGCAAGACTTCCCGTGGCACACCCTGGGTAATGCTAAATCTGCTACGATATTTAGAATCTAGTGTTTTTTAATTGTAAGCAAAATCCTTTTACCTGCTTCTCAGCAATGCTCGTTTCAGCGCTCTTTTCGAAGATCTATTAAATCAGTGTGTCCGCTTCGGGCACACCCACAGAATTAAAACGTTAAGTGCTATCTTCACAAACTTTTACCTGTGTACTCTTCCAGACCTGATTGTACTGCCTATTTTCGGGGGGGGGGGTCGAAATTCCAACTTTAAAAGGTAGTGTGCCGTAAAGGGTTAAACTATGCACATTTGGGATTTGTTTTTTAATTTCCGATTTTGTATCATTCTGACTTCGATGCTCTAGATCTTGAATATTTACCCTTTCAGTTGAAACTCTTCACTTTACTCTTAAGTTCAACAGATTGAAAAAAAAGTTTATTAATTAAAAACATATTTATAAAATTTTCCTATTGTCATTTTTGTATTACTATTTTTCTATGGTTTATTTGACGGGAGAGTCAAAATCTAAAAATTTCTTAGAAAGCAAGATTAACGTTTTATTTAATTTTCCTAAAATGATATAATTAAAGCTAATGAATTATCAGCCTGATCTCTCTCTAAAATTAGATATTCAGAAGATTACAGGCAGTCATTCGATATTATCCAAAATGAGTGTTCATATCACTAATAGAAAGTAATAAGAATAATATACTCACAAATAATTAATTTCTGTTAATGTTAATGGAACGCTTTGAAATCCTTCAGTTTGTTAATAAAAAATTCGTTAAGTTTTACAAAATATGAAACAAATAATAAATCCATTCCAGATTCCAAATTTTGGTTTCCAGACGCCCATATTCGAGTGGAAGACTACATTATTCAAAATTTTATGTCTCTAGGCACCGTTCGTTTTTACAGTGCGAGAAACATACATTCATTCAGATTCTTCATTATTTATTTTCTTTAAATATAACGCATGGCTATAATATTTGGTGGTAACAATTTGAAAAGTGATTTAATCTTTTATAGTGAACCAACGTAAAATCCCAAAACAAAATTAATAGCTCTTCTAGGCTAACGTCCTTTGGGCTCAAAAGAATGTCTAGAAGTGTGCTCAACTCTTGCATTGCATTCTTTATTTTTTAAACATATTTCTTCAATCTGAAAATGTCTCAGATATTTTCTTGTTGTTAAATTGTATATTATTTTTCACCAACAGGTTGCTTGTTTTTTGACCATTTTCCTCACTTATCTGATGGGCACCAATTTCTTCTGGATGTTTGTCGAAGGTCTTTACCTTTTTATACTAGTAGTGAAGACATTTTCTGTGGATAACATCAAAATGTTCGTGTATCTCCTGATAGGATGGGGTAAGCGTAAATGCATTTTACAAATAAATTTATTTTAAAAATTCAAAATTTATCTATCTGTTATATTGTATTTATCACGTGTTGTTAATAATGTATTGGTTTTAAATGAATAGATGAGTCTTTTTGATCATACAAACTGCTCTGTTTTAAGAATCCAGAACTACGTTTTATAAAAATAAAAAATTAATAAAATTAAAAAGTTGAGATTCCAAAGTAAAAATATATTATACTTTATCCGAAGTGTTAAATTCTTTTTGACATATAGAGAAATCTGAATGTTTTTCCAAATTATATTTCCTTTGAAAAAATAAATTAAAAATATTATAATAAAGTAGCTTTTTGACACTTTGCTCTCTGAACTATTTACCTGAAAATAAAAAAAAGGAAAGATATCCTTAACATTTCACTATTTTTTACGTCGATGGGTTTCGAAATGCCATTTTTCGCAATTTACAACCCAGACTAACATCTTTGTGAATAACTTTCAACTGCATAAGACACTATATATCTTTGTAAAAATGAAAGAACATCGTTTCCTCTTCGTCCTCCACATCATTTCTCATATATCAAAGTTACTTTTCAAATAAATGTTCTTCTCCATTCATTCTAAGTTGCAGTATTTATTAAGTTCATACTTTTTGGTGCATTTGGATGAAATAACAACCTATACGAGTTCCTTTTCTCTCTATTATCCAAGTTCAGAACTTCAACATTTTTCTTATCAAATACATAAATGCATAAATGCAGTACGTAAAACTCGTCATTTTCATTTTTAGATTTTCATATTCCATATCCTCGAGTATCTAAAAAACGTTACATTCTTCTTTTGAACTTTGTAATGCTTTACTTTTTCCCATTCCCATTTTTAAATTTTACTTTGAATGCACCTTTGACATATAGTAAATGTAATCATAACCAGTTATCATTAATTTTTTTTAATTTTTCCTTGAGGTAAAGGTCTAATAAACATGATCTACTAGGAACTTCTTGCACTAGGAATTGTAAAATAAAATCTAAGAAACTGTAACACTTAGAATAAAATTCTAATGGTAATCATTCTGAAATTTAAGTGCGAAAACGTCAACGAATATAACTTTGAATCAATTAAAGCAGTTTAATTATACAACTAAAAATATGAGATTCATTTTAAATGATACCATGTTACATAATATGTGACATAGTATGTATATCACTAATATATTGTAAGGATCCTAAGTTTTACTAACGTTTATTTTATTTTAAAACTGTACTATCACTTCTTATTTTCTACTTCCGGCCAGAATTAAATGCATTAACTTGTTTATGCAAATTGTCTTGCTAACGCCAAGTACTTAAATTGTGGCTTTTTGCCAAGAGAGAGAGAGGAAGGAGTTATAGGAAGCAAGCCGCTTGCCACTGTAGTTTTACGAGTTTTCACTCTGTTGCTGGTTGCGTTTAAGGCCAGAGGTTTAGTCCTCTTGATAATTGCAGAGGTATCGTAGTTTTAGCAGCTCGGCGTACTACATACGTACCTTTTTTAAATAAAGGCCAATCTTAGAGCTAGGCATTTGCATACTAATTCAAAGCTAGTTTTTAGTTAGAGTTTTAGTTAGTAGTTTTTATATTCTTACGTTCAGACCACAAGTGGTTGGTCTTTGTATTCCGAAGCTCGGAAAATCCTGTAAAAGATTGAAAATAAAGGGTTTCGTATACCCTTCCTGCTTGTGTTGTCTACTTCACACCTTCTTGAACATAGCTTGAGTAAGCTCCCTATTCCGATTCAGCACAATTCATGTTTCAACGCAAAGCAAGAGAAACACAAATCCTGACAATATTATATTAGTGAATTTCCTATAATAAAAAAACATGGAAGCTCTGAAATACATTTAAACATAGAAATTACTTTTCAACAGACCGTTTCATAGTCAACGTTTTTCATAGTCACTTTATTATAGGTCGTTGCTTCGACCTATAATAAAGTGACTATGCTGTATCACTGGAGACAGATTGCAGCATTTCTATTGAAAGTGCATTGAAATGTGTTGCGTGTCTTTGCTATAGTAACGAAATGATGTCCTACAATGAATAATAGTTTGGAATGCAAGCCCTGAAATGATTCTGTGTAAGTTAAGTATTCCGATCACAGGCATAAATAGTATGCAATGGCGTGCGTGATATTATAAAACGGTTGTAAATTTGCTAATAAAAGTAACATATTCAGCGAGATACAATTTATTTCTGTAGGAAATTCTTATAAGTTTCAAGCAATGAAAGTAAAATAGCAAAAAATCCAGCAACTAGGGTGCTTCTTAAATATTCCTAAAAATAAGAAGAGACGTACACTGCAGAAGAAAAGGGGTACAGTTTTATATCTTCCGTTCTACTGGGCCGATTGACGAAATTCAACTTGCGTTTTTCATGTCTTGAAAACGCGACCAAGGATATATATTAGATTTATATTGTTTCAATACAGGTATTTTAACACAAAATCGGACTTTTTCTGAAATGACGAAATTCCGGTAGACATGTAGGAGGGAGGTTGACAGGCTGCAACTCGTCGTCCAAGCATGTCCCACACGTGCTTTACTGGATTCAAGTCCGGTGAGAATGCGGGCCAGTCCATACGGGTGATATCCTCCGATTGAAGGCATTCGCTTACGATGTTTGCACGGGGAAGATGGGCGTTGTCATCCATAAACACAAATTGTGCGCCCATGGCGCCCCGAAACAAACGTACTTGTTGTTCCAGAATGACGTCCCGATAGATTTGGCTTGTCGTGTTTCCAATTTGAACATGCAGGTCAGTTCTGGAACCAGAATAATTCCATACCAAACGAGCACTCCTGCACCACCGCAACGGTGTCGTTCAATGATGTTTTCTTGGTGATAACGGGTACCTGGAGCTCTCCATATGAAAGTCCGGCGAGAATCAGACTGCAAGCTAAACCTAGACTCGTCAGAAAACATCACGGAAGCCCACTGTTGCGGTGAATCTGCCTTGAAATCATATGCAGCCTTGAAATTGTCTTACTGCCTTGAAATTGTCGTACCTGTGGCTGAACAGAGCTGAGGAGACAGGTCTGAGGCTGTGCTCCGCCTGTTTCTTTTGGCAGTAACTGCCAAATACCGGTCCTCATTCGGCGTTGTAACTCTGGGGCGACCTGTGCTGTAACGTCTACTCACATTACCATCATCTTGGAATCGTTGCCAAAGCCTGGAGATGACACTCTAGGCAATTCCAAGTTCGTTCGACTTCCAGTTGGATACGCCCACATCCCAGATGGTCAATAATTCTACCACGTAAAAAATCATCCAAATGCGTCCTTTGTGTCATAACTATTCGGTTATTGCACTGAAATGCTTATAAAGCGCCTGCGAACAATTTTACTTCTTTGCCTGTATTCCTTATATAGCACTCTCTTACACTCTCGTCATTGTGACGTACCATCGGTGTCATCTGGTTACTTCCTGAAATTTGCATATGATTCTTGAAGAAGTGTGTAGGGATTTTACAGGTGATATATTTATTTTAGAGTTCGATTTCCGCGTGACTCCGAATTATCCTTAATTTGTGGACATGTGTGTGTATATATATATATTAATATATATATGAAACGATATATATATATATATATATCGTAAATGTAACTGTCAATTTAGAAGAAATGCTGCCGAATTGCTTCATATTTTTATCTGTAGAATGTTCTGTCATCGTCTTACAATTCTTAATCTCAGATAATACTTCACATAAGTGGTAGTAACTCATCCTTTAAATGCAATATATTTGTAAAGAATTCTTTCAAAAATGAAATGCGAAACTATTATTATAATTAAGTTATGTTGTATTAGAAAGGTTCTGTAAGATCTGTAAGTTCCATAATGAAAGAAATTTGCTAAATTAAAACTTCAAAAAGAATGATTTTTACATTGCCTTTCTATCTAAAAGGATATGTGTTACTTGATTCTAATATACAAAATGTTTCTGATGTACTTTTATACAGAGTGATTCACTACCAGACAGACAAACTTGCAGTGTGTGTAGGGGCTACAGAGACCACTCAGAATCGCATAGGAATGCAAGGTCGCAAAAGCCGTAGTTGCGAGCTATGGTGCAAAGAAGCAGAGAAAAAGAAAAGAAACAGCAACACATTAATGGGACAGAAAACATTTTATTGAAAGGTTGTACTACAACAAGTGTTCGAAATTACTACCAGAAGTCGTGTGGCAGGCCTGATAGCAGCGCTGCATGTAATTACTTATGTTCTGGAAGTTCCGTTCCTTACGCATGTCACGTATCCTTCCGGAAGCTACAGATAGTCGAGCGACGAGGTCTTCAACTGAAGGAACGGGCGTTTCTTCCACCACACACCGCTGACCAAAGGTTACGTCGACGTGTAGGTGGACATCAGGTGAAGGAGCTCCCTCATTTTGATATCACATGGAGCGGCGCATCGACGGAGGAACCAGTGTTGCGTCAAGAAGTTTGGGCAGGGACTTGTTGCAAGAAGATCAGGCATGCCCTACGGTCCAAATGACTGGGAAGAAGGTACTGTCCGATGAGGTAGTCTCCAAGAATGCCGCCCAAACGTTGACCGAGAAAGGCTCTTCAGCTGCACGTGGTTGCGTACGATGAGGGTTCTCCAAAGCCCACACACATGAGCATTATGCTGATTGAAGGTTACCTCACGTGTGAAGTACGAGTATACTTCATATGTGAACAATACGGACTCATGTGCTGTCTGTAGCACTCTGTTGCAGGAACCATGTAGCAAACGTCCTCCGGATAGGATAATCCTCGGGCTCTAATAATTGGACTCGATGAAGATGGTATGCGCTCATTTGGTTTGCTGTGATTATCCTCCAGACAATGGATTGAGTAAGCCCACTTCTTTGGCTATCGCTTTAAGTATTCGTACTTGGAGTGTCTTCTGCCAGACATACGACCACCTCCTCATTACCGGGTGTTCTCGTCGTTCGCTGTTGATTCATTGTAGCTCTCGTTAAACAAAAAGTCTCACGTA